CCTAGCCGCAGCGTTCGGCCCAGAAATTGTTGTATCAACCTGACCTAAGTCTAAAATAAGACAGAACTTAAAATAAGTTATAGTTAGTGATCATGTGCAAAATTGATAAGAGTGGGGACGGGGTCCAAAAATCGTATACTAGGAAATTACCCAAATATTATTAATACATAAAAAATAATAGATAACGACATAAGCGCTAATTAGTTGAAAATGCCGTGACTAATTTTTAAAATCGTCTTTTCAATTTCCCATTTTGAAGTTCACGGAATATAATTATGGCGGATATTTGCTTTCAGTTTTTAGTTTATATCCGATTTTTAAATGATAGAAATAAGCTTCATATTTAAACACAATTTTTGTTCATTTGGTTTATATGATTGAACCAAAACAAAAGCCATTTTGGACATTAGACTCGTTTTATTTATTTTTCATTTGTAAAAGGTTCAAACTCCCTATAAAGTTAAAGCCATGAATTCCTCGCAGCTCCATTGCCGCAATTTTTTATTTACTCTCTCTCTTATCAGTACTGCAGCACTTCGCACGTGGACCCTAAACTCTCGGGGCTAGCAGAATTCAATGAAAAAAAGCTTTGCTCCAATTGTTGTCAAATGTGACAAATAATTTACATTTAAAACTGTGATTCAAAATGGAGGATAGTGTTGAATGCCCTCTTTGTGCCCAATCTTTCTCTAAAACGAATATTCAAACCCATGCTAGCACCTGCGGGATGGAATCGAAGAAACCTTTGAAAAGAACACTTTCTGATATATTCGGACATACAACAAAGAAAGATCAGACCAAGAAGCCTCGATTGGACGAACCTGCGAAAGAGGTGTTTTGTCCTAGCCCCGGATTAAAACCCAAATCTTCCATGAATCCTGCTCCTCTGGCAGAGAGAATGCGACCTCAGGTAAAATATTGAATAAAGTTTTATTTTAGGGTCCGTCCTAGAGAACGATTTTTGGGGGGGTCCAAAAATCGTATATTAGGACAGACCCCAATTATTCTGGATTATAACGTATAAACTTTTTGTATGTTTAGCATATATAGGTTTGTATTTAGCTTGGTTTGAAAATTTCAAGTTGTGTATGTTATTTATAGAGAAGAATTTGTTTCCAGAAAAGACTGGGTTCCCAAATTAATCACTCTAAAGATAACTTTTCTCATTCTATAAATAAGATGTGTTAATAATTTATTTTTTATCAATTATTAATACATTGTTTTTTTTCAGGATTTGTCAACTTATATCGGACAGGAGAGCGTTGTTGGAGCTAGTTCTCAGCTCCGGAAGCTATTAGAGGCTGAAACTATTCCTAGCTTAGTACTCTGGGGACCACCTGGATGCGGGAAAACTAGTCTAGCAAACGTTATCGCGAACAAGGTATTTCGTACGATAAGTTAAGCTCAGGGGTATTTATTTTCTTGAGATGGTTGAGAACTATCTTGGACTCTTCTGAAATCTCATTTACTAAACTCTTCCCAACCTTCGATCTAAACTTTATCCTGGATTTTCCCAAAAATAGCATTTCAGAAAAACCAAAAGGAAATCATATTACTCGCTAATTTTATTGTTATTTAGGTTAAAGGGAAATGCAAGTTTGTTAAGATGTCTGCCTGCACATGTGGAGTAAATGAAGTGAGTTAGAGGGGTTTTTTTACATTTAACACGCTCCTTAGATCTTCTCTCCGATCCTTACCGATCACAAACTTTATGTTTTCCATGGAGAGAGCTTGAGTCATAAGCGTGTAACAGTAGATATACCTTCCCTGGTAATCAGTGTACCCGGAGATAAACCTGAACCCTGTCTGGTTCATGGTTTAATCTAGCCCCGGGGACTCAATTATCAAAGCGGACAATCTTAAATAATAGTAAGGTTTAAATTAGAATTGCCCTTAATTTACGTGTCATCCATTTAAGTTGTAATTCCTACCAATCTTACGCCTTTGAAGTCATTTTAAATATTTTATACTTAACACGCTCCTTAGATCCTTTCTCCGATCTTAACTGATCACAAACTTTTATGTTTTCCATGGAGAGAGCTTGAGTCATAAGCGTGTAACAGTAGATATACCTTCCCTGGTAATCAGTGTACCCGGAGATAAACCTGAACCCTGTCTGGTTCATGGTTTAATCTAGCCCCGGGGACTCAATTATCAAAGCGGACAATCTTAAATAATAGTAAGGTTTAAATTAGAATTGCCCTTAATTTACGTGTCATCCATTTAAGTTGTAATTCCTACCAATCTTACGCCTTTGAAGTCATTTTAAATATTTTATACTTAACACGCTCCTTAGATCCTTTCTCCGATCTTAACTGATCACAAACTTTTATGTTTTCCATGGAGAGAGCTTGAGTCATAAGCGTGTAACAGTAGATATACCTTCCCTGGTAATCAGTGTACCCGGAGATAAACCTGAACCCTGTCTGGTTCATGGTTTAATCTAGCTCCGGGGACTCAATTACTTGAGCGGACAAAAACTTTTTCATATTTGATAAATAGATTTTGGAAAAAAATAAGAATTTTTTTTTGGGGGGGTATTAAAAAAAACTTGAATGTACTGAAAGCGTAATTCAAGTGACTTACCACTTGTGAGGCATGTGCGATTCATAACTGAACCCTAAAAACCTTTACTCGGACAATGCATAGCTAAAGCTGAAGTGCCGGGAGACACGAGGCTATAGTTTCAGGTTTCTTTGCACTTTCTTCGTTCTTTTTAAATGAGAATATCTACGAAATCCTTGATCAAACAAAGGTTTAAAGGGTATTGTTGAAAATCGGACATGCCACTCTAATAATGGAGGGTCACTTAGAATTGTTGAAAATCGGACATGCCACTCGATAAATGGAAGGTTCATTGAAATTACGCTTACAATCCCTTTAAACTCGGGAAGTGGGATCTCCGTTTCACTGTGTTTTTCCCCAAGGTTCGTGAAGTAGTGAAGCAGGCAAAGAACGAGCAGGCGATGTTTAAACGGAATACAATTTTATTCATGGACGAGGTCCACAGGTTCAACAAGGCACAGCAGGATACTTTCCTTCCTCATATTGAATCAGGTAATCAGGATCGAAGGCAATGCCCGATTCATTACGATACCCTTGAAAGCTTCCTCTGATCAAGTATGAATTAGATCTGCATGCTTTTGGACATTATAAAAATGTTCATTTTCATTTGCGATTTCTCTTCAAAAGAGACATTCGAAATTCACATTTGTTCCGAGTCAGTAAAACGACGGTATCTTTCACTTTTTGGCCAAATTAAGGTTTCAGGGTTCATCGTTGTATTGTTAATCGGGCATTTTAATCTTTGCACGGAGGGTCAGTTGAAATAACGCTTACAGTCGCTATATTTTCGCAAAATTCTTCTATTTTCTCAAATAATTTATGATCCAGGTCCGATAACCTTTATTGGAGCTACAATTTACGGGTACAGTCTCTATATTTTCGCAAAATTCTTCTATTTTCTCAAATAATTTATGATCTAGGTTCGATAACCTTTATTGGAGCTACAATTTACGGGTACAGTCTCTATATTTTCGCAAAATTCTTCTATTTTCTCAAATAATTTATGATCTAGGTTCGATAACCTTTATTGGAGCTACAATTTACGGGTACAGTCTCTATAATTTCGCATAATTCTTCTATTTTCTCAAATAATTTATGATCCAGGTGCGATAACCTTTATTGGAGCTACAATTTACGGGTACACCCGGTACAGTCTCTATAATTTCGCATAATCCTTCTATTTTCTCAAATAATTTATGGTACAGGTGTGATAACCTTTATTGGAGCTACAACAGAGAATCCATCGTTCAGTCTGAACTCCGCTCTTCTCTCTAGATGTAGAATCATTGTGTTAGGCAATCAATTATCTTAAAATATCATTGTGTTCTGAGGTTGTAATTAATTAATATCAAGTAGAAGTGGGTTAAGTCCGTTCTGAGGGTTTGAATGTTCATTATTGACAAGTAGTTCAACCAGCAATAATAGTTAAACTTTTTCTCGCTTTTCATTAAAAACCACCTGAAGTTATCGGGTATCTATTTCGGGAGTTTTTAACATTTCTAAAACTTAATGTTTTTACTCATGTTGAAATGTTTTTGTATAAATATTATGGTTTGGTTTATCAGCAACGATTCTTAAGTTAAACTGTAAAAACACTTTTGATTAAATTGAATTGAAATGTTCAGTTGGAATTTGAAGGTTTGATTTTAAGAAAAGTTGTCGCCTGAGTCCCTGAGACAGATCCTAGAACGAGCCCTGGGCGAAAATAATATCAAGGTGGTGGAGAAATTGGACAAGGTGAAAAATTTGACTTTTTTAACGCTCATTTATTATTTTACCTTCAAAATTATTTTGGCCTTACTCCAGTCAGAGGAAACACAGACCCCTAAATTTTAATATAGATCTGCAATAGTGTTTTTAACATGCAATTTGAATTTTAAGAGGCTCAAGTAAGATCTGACATGCGCGTATCCCACATCGATATCGTATTTTTCTTTCCTCGCTTTTATTAAATGTCAAAACAAATCCTAATCTAAGAGATCGATCTGAAAGAGATTTTAGAACGATTCGATTCGTTATGATAAATTGTTTTGGTTGATAAAACGCTATAAATGATTTGTTATTCTGTCATAAAACGAGGATGCACCGTCGTTCAATATTGAAGACGAGATAAATTTTAATCTGATATTTGATATATTGCAGGACCGGAACAGTATATCTGATGAATCCATAACCTACCTCACCAACATTGTAGATGGGGATGCAAGGTATGAGTCGTAGGTGTGGGACGGTGCTTCCCATGCCTGCCGGCGGTCTGGGGGGTTCATAACGGGACCTCTTTTTCAGATTTCTTTTCTAATAGTTCTAATAGTTAAATTCGTTATTTATCTGCTAGGACCGAAATTATATAAGAAATATTTACCCGAGAAAAAAGTGATCTTATTTTTAAATTTTTTGGCCTTTTCGTGGCTTCTTAAAATGTTTTTTATTTTTTTATTATTTTGAACAATATTAAATGAGTTGCAGTTAAGTTGGTTTTTAATTTACAAAAATCTTGAACTTTTCAGCGTTTTAAACTCAGCTGCCCCCATAGTCCAATCCATGAGGCCCCTCAACTCGAGACCCTTTCTTTTGACTTCTATTTTGGAAAAACGCTTCAGCCTCAATATTTTATTCTTTAAGGTCAGCTCTGAATACCCTGCAGTTGTTGATAAATAGTAGAGAGGCCAACTCGCACATTGATCTGGAACAAGTTAAGGTATAGTAGAGACAATATTAATTAACATCATATTTGAAATATAAAATTACTAGGCTTTTGGTAACAATTTTAGATTTTAGCTGTCGATTTTTACGGATTTTTCGGGTCAAATTTATATGTTTCTCAACTTGTTAAAGTTCACTTTTTCTATGCACTAAATTTCAACTTCGATCTTCACCGTTATTTTCCACAAAAAAAATTGGTCCGATCAGTTGCTTAGGATCCATTTAATTTTGATGCGGATCCGGATCCGGATCCTGGATCCGCTTTTCAAAAAAACGGATCCGGATCTAGATCATTGATCAAAAAAAAATTTTATTTTAGTTCAAATGTCTTTTCATACCTAAAAAAATGTTAAACATTTTAACATTTTTTTATACTATTTTTCTATTAGTTTGCACAAAATGATAATGATTTTTTTTTACTTTATTGGATGAAAAAAAAACAGGTCTAATTCATATTAGCTTTTAGTAGGAGGGCGTTTGGAATATCTGCCTTCAGGCAACTCCTTAGGTCTGATTTGAATATCTTCAGGGCAGAGAACAGTCTCTTTATACTGGGAACACAAGATGTTCCTTATCATCTGTATCTTTTTAGCATATGTGCGCCCCATCCCTTTTCCCCCTCACTCTTACACATCCTTACACCTTAATTTGTGAAGACTAAATTTGCTTAGTTGCAATGGGGAAAAGGGAGACCTCCCCCCCCTCTCTAGTTATTAAAGGGGGTGGGGGGAGGGGTGCACGGTGGAGGTCTGAGTTAAGATTTGAGCAAGATAGAAACCTGAGACCCTGAGAACATTTTTAAAATCTGTTAAACAATTCAAAATAGGATATTTTTAAGGAAAATTAAAGCTGTTTTGCACATTTTAAAAAATAGAATTGTGCTTGGATCCGGATCCGTGGATCCGCATTTTTTTTGCGGATCCGGATCCAAAGAGCCAAAATAATGCGGATCCAGCGGATCCGGATCCGGATCCTAAGCACTGAGAAGAAAAAAATATGAAAGAAAGAAAAAATGTGAATTCTTTAGTTATAATTACTCAAGGGGGCCCTAAAAGAGATTCAGCCATTTCGGTCCAGCCGTTTGGCCAGCTTATAGCTGACATATAAATAAATATATATGAGCGAAGAGCTTTATTATATAGACAAAAAAAACAAGCAAGCAAAGTATAGATATGTATATTGAAAACAAACAAACAGACAAGCAAAGTATAGATATTTATATAGATAGTAATTACGTTACATGTAATGATTAAAATTTGCACAAAAAAATGTCTGCGTTGATTAGATTTAAAATATATTTTAAATTTTTTTCCTGTTCTAGGAGGCTGCTAAAAGGTCTCATGTATTGTATGACCGGAAGGGGGATGAGCACTTTTTTATGGCTTCTGCTCTGCAAAAGTCGATACGAGGTAGATAATAAAATTTTCAGTTCATGGTAGCAATTAGAATCTTCTTAATAAATTTTGTACTAAACAAGGCAGTGGTAGAGTAAATAAATATTTTCTAAAAATCATTCCCCCTTTTTATGAAATTAAGTAAAAAAAAAAATTGGTTATAAGCTTGCGCGAATTAAAGGGAATACTTCTTTCTTTTATAGGTTTCTAAGTTTCTAACTATTTAACCAATAAAACCTGTGCTTTAGGTTCTGATGATAATGCTGCTCTGTACTGGTTTGGACGGATGATAAAAGGAGGAGAGGATCCAACCTTCATTGCTAGAAGACTGGTCAGGTAAATAATTGGTTGGTTGGTATTATTCTCTAGTCCTGTTAGATTTCATTTGCTTCATTGGAAAAAAATTATTAACTTCTGATGAGAAAATATGAACCAAAACTGAAGTTAAGGGGTTATGAATCACCTTTTTTGGGGGCGCATTCTCTATTTTAAGGATTGAAATCAGCAAACTTAAATCTGTTCTTTAACACAATGCTCAAAATTAGTCAGACGAGATACCTGTTTTGTGTCTGGACTGTAAAATATAATGTTCAATTCTTGTCTGAATAGTATGAACATCTTATCTGTGTTCAGGATTGTAAAATATTATTTTCAATTCTTGTCTGAATAGTATGAGCATCTTATCTGTGTTCACGATTGTAAAATATAATGTTCAATTTTTGTCTAAACAGTATGATCATCTTATTTGTGTTCAGTATTGTAAAATATGATGTTCAATTTACGTCTGAACAGTATGACCTTCTTATCTGTGTCCAGGATTGTAAAATATGATGTTCAATTCTTGTCTGAATAGTATGAACATCTTATCTGTGTTTAGGATTGTAAAATAGTATGGTCAATTCATGTCTGAACAATGTGAACATCTTATCTGTGTTCAGGCTTGTAAAAAATTATGTTCAATTTATGTCTGAACAGTATGAACATCTTATGTTTGTTCAGGATTGTAAAATATGTTGGTCAATTTGTCTCTGAACATTGTGAACATCTTATCTGTGTAAAGGATTGTAAAATAGCATGATCAATTCATGTCTGAACAGAATGAACATATTCTCTGTGTTCAGGATTGCTAGTGAAGATGTAGGATTGGGAGATCCTTCGGCACTTCCTCTAGCTGTAGCAGCTTTCCAGGTAGGAAACCAGGGGGAAATCAGCTTTCCATGTAGGAGACTAGGGGGAAATCAGCTTTATTTGTAGATAACTAGGGGAAATCAAATTTCCAGGCAGGAGAGGAATGCATTTCAATTGTAACTAGCAATTTTTTTAGGGAACTCAATTGATTGGGAAACCGGAGTGTGACGTTCTTCTTGCGCATGCTACAGTTCATCTTGCAAGGTTTTGTACAATTGCAATTTAATTAGTTTTACTTTCACTGCCGATGTGTCATTTATTTGGCATACAGTAATATCACAGAAGGTTTTTTAAAGACGACAAAACAATTAAACCTCTTCAAATAATTATCGGATGATTTTTAGCTATATTTTTGTTCAGAGCTAAGAAGAGTCATGAGATATACAACGCACTGAATGCCGTTTATTCTAACATTGATCAGGAACGCAATTAAACCATTAATGTCGAATATAGTAATATCTCTATTTATTCTCTGTATTTTATTTGATTTGAAATAATTTTGATGAAAGAGGATTTATTCCGACCTTATTCTCAATTTGGGGGGATAAGTTATTTTGTTGAGTTAAGCTAAAGAACCGACTTTGATTGAATTGGATAAAACGGGGAAACCTTCTTATTTTATTTTCTTACTGAATTCTTCAAAAATTATAATTTCCTGAACACTCCCTTGTACATTAATGAGTTGATATGAAGGGTGTTCTTCCACCCGTGCCTCTACACCTGAGGAACTCGACCTCTAGGGCCACGACGGAGCTGGGCTGGGGGAAGGGATATTCTGCCAACCTTGAGAAGGTTCAGAGCATCTCCTACCTACCGGAGGAGCTCAAGGGGGTTAATTTCTTCAATGAGAAAAATGGAGATTAAAGGGATTGACGAGTAAACGTTATTTTTATGCGACTATTAATATGTGCCTTTTTTTGCGTTACATTCGATTTATTTTTACAGTGAAATTACAATAATTTTCATAAGTCTTTTAGATAAAAACAGTGACAAATGCCGTCTTGTTTGATGAAGGTCGTTGCAGTAAATATTTTGACTAAAAATGCCCGCGACTAGGATTTTGGAGGGCGAACTGTGAAAGTGCTTATAATGGTAGAAGAGACAACAGGAGGAGTTAAAGCTCTCAGTTAAATCAATAATTGTGTCATTACATTGCTCAACCTCTACCGCCTGCCCTTGTCTATCGATTTCTACGATACACCTCTTAAAATCCTCCAGGAATTTTAAGATAATTCCATCTTTCAAAAGAGGTCCGCTCAACCTGCAGATGAGACACTGCATACACGCAGCGCTGTCCTGCTTCAGGTTGACCTTATCTTTGAACGGTAAAAGATGAATCAAGGACTTCAGATCAACTGCTTCAATATGGAGGCACTTTGCCGTTTTAAAAGGGTCTCTAGCCTCTTCATCTAGATAGGACACTTCAGGGTTAATCGTACTGTAGAGGATATAGTCAAATCTTCATCACTGGAATTTGATTGTCTAGTATAAAAGTCCAAAGTCCTAGTATCCTCTGGTAACTTCACTTTCATGTAAAATAACATGGTTAAGTACTTTCCTTCCACTCCACAGTCCACACAAGTAACAAGTTTCAACTCCATTAATATATGTTCATTCTCCATCTACAACGGTTTCTTTAAAATTTTGAACAAATTAACAATAGAGACAGAAATCGTATTTATTTAATTTTATTGTCTCTACAGTGCAAATCCGCGCGTCATTGACAGAGAACCCACAATTGAAAATAATCAAATAATCTCATTTTTTTAAATAGTACCGTTGTGAGTTGGGTCTTGCCACTATATAAATGTTAGTCAACTTAAAATCATGGTTACAGTTTCTCTAATATTGTGACTGATCTTCTTCAATATCTCCTATTAAGACGGACAATGTTTAATATTTTTATATATTATTTTTTAAGTGTAAAAGTTGACATTTTGTTATCTTTCAGACAAAATTAAATTTTGACAATGGCACCACACTTCGTGCTGTTCGAGCACGCGGCCGGGTACGGGTTATTCAAGGTCAAGGAGTTTGAGGAGGTCGCGACCTTTCTCCCTCAGGTCGAGGAGGCTGTCATGGACGTTTCTAAATTTCAACAGGTCAGTTAAATTGGAATATATAAGCAGTTCTGTACATAAACATCTAAAAAATAAATTATTTTGTTAAGTTTATTTAACTTCATTTTCAACGTTATTTTTGGATCCAGACACTTATATTGAATCCAAAATCTGACTTGTTGAATAACAAAACTTTGATATTTTAGGTTGTGAGCCTGATTGGGTTCTTCCCTTTCAAGCATGCCGCCGACGCGTTGAACAACATCAACGCCGTGTCCGAGGGGGTTTGTTCAGAAGATCTCAAACTCTTCCTAGAGACAAATATGCCCAAGGTAAAATATTCTCGTCTACTCGTTCCGAGGCCGAATTTAAAGAATTTAAACCGCCGCACGTGTCTGAACCGCCGAAAACCGGTTCCAACTGAGCTCATGAACAAACTCAAGTCTCTCTTCAGGCCGTTGAAAAATCATAAACAAACTTCAGTCTCTTGGAGGATCATAAACTAACTCCAGTATCTCAAATGATCATAAACACACCAAGTCTCTTGGAGGATCTTAAACAAACTTTAGTCTCTTGGAGGATCTTAAACAAACTTCAGTCTCTTGAAGGATCATAAACAAACTTCAGTCTCTTGAAAGATGTCAATGTCAATTAATGGTTATAGAGAATTCAAGATTTGGAAAGAAACATTTGGGGGGGTTTACATTTGTTCTTTTTTGATAATTAATTTAATCTTAAATTATATCCAGGCGGGAAAGAAAGCAGCAATTCTGGGTGTACTGGACAGTAAACTATCTGCTGCTATCAACGAGGCTACAGAGATCAAATGCTCACATATCGGAGTCATCCCAGAGGTAGGATTAACTAATTTTCTCTGTTTAGAAAGCCTCCTATTGAGAAACGATATTTTCTCAGGTTTATTTGACCTTTGACATATTAGAATCTATTTTGATATCTGACAGAATCCCATATTTTACTGTTTAGCATTTATCCTTTTTAAATAGTAAATTGAATTTATATCTTGTAAAGCCTAATCTAAATATGTTAGTTTATGCCGTAAACGGATTGAAATTTGAAGAAGAAAAATAAAGCTATAGTATATAATAAACACTTAAACAAATTAACTTTAAATAAATAAATGTATCAATTACTAGTTTCTTAATGTTGTAATTTTAACAAAATCGGAGATAAAAATTCCTAATTTGCAATAAAAACCTTTTTTAGATATTAAACTCGCATGCATAGAAATTCTGTTTGTTTAGATTGTCCGTGGTATCAGAATGCATTTCCCAAAACTGGTCAAAGGGTTCACTCCAGGTGATAATAGGTTTTTTTTTGGGGGGGGGAGGCAAAGATTTTTAAAGTTATTTAGGATATAACTCGAAGTTATGATTCATAAAGCTTATAAAGTTTTTTCATATTATTTCAAGATGTGCAATCAATCAAAAATTATCGTTTATGTAAGTTCCGTTTGTTCAGGTTCCTCTGACAAAGCCCAGCTTGGTCTTTCCCACAGCTACAGCAGGGCCAAGGTTAAGTTCAACGTGAACAAGTCCGACAACATGATCATCCAGAGTATTGCTCTCCTCGATCAGCTGGACAAGGATATTAATACATTCTCCATGAGAATCAGAGAGTGGTGAGTGTAAAATAGTAAGGGGTTGGGAGAGCAGTGCTTAGGATCCGGATACGTTGGATCCGAAACATTTTGGCCTCCTGGATTTCGGATCTGCAAAAATATGGGGATCCAAGGGGCAAAATATCAACCAAATCCCGTTTTGCTTTCGAAACACAAATTTCAAAGGTTAAAAATTACATTTTATAATCTTTGAATGGTTCATCAAAAATAAGCGAAAAAAGGATGAACAAAATTGAAAAATTTATCATCTTTCATTAGTGTTTACTGTTCATAGTCTAGTCCTGGGCTTATTTTTTTCACGGCGGATCCGCATTTAAATATAATTCATCCTAAGCACTGAGGAAAAGGATCATTGAAATTAATGGGATATGATCTGAGAGTAAAAGTTGTATAAGGGCTTATCTCGATAATCATTGTATCTAAAGTGTTATAGCGTCGGAAATCGGAAACAAAGAAACCTTTGTATGAAATGAATCTTCTAAATGCAAAGCCTACAAATCGACTTTAAGACCCCATCTTAGACGACAACTTGTGTCACGTGATTGACAGCTGCAATATATTCGGAGATGGAATTTAAAGAATTTGTACCGCGGTTTAAATCCAACAAAACCCGGTTTAAATTCAGCGCCGGCTTAAATATTGAAACATTTGATACAATTTTTAGTGGAACCAACCATATTTAAACAGCGGCTTAAATTTAAACCGCCGCTTAAATTCTTTAAATTCGGCCACGGGTCATTTTTAGGAGTAAGGCTGAAAAATAAAAAAAACGACCTTGGTTGGTTTTAGTGGAAAATAAGGCTCAATGTTGAGTCTTCACCTCATAAAAACCCGGAATGCGCCAATTCCTACCATGTAAATCCGCCATAAAGAATATTAAACCGGTTTTTTCAACTCAACTCTGTGGAAAATAAGATGCAGCTTGAATCCGAAAGCCCCAAGCCGTAAAAAAGGCCCAACTACAGCTTAGACCCGAGCCGTATTTACCCAAAAAAAAATTAATCGCCGGCTCTGATGTCGCAGGATTAAGGTGCATAAGATTCACTCTCCGATCTGATTAAAGTTTGCGGCATCATTGCTGAGAATAATTGCGGGATTTCTTTAAAATATTTATTTTCAGGTATTCATTCCACTTTCCAGAGCTGATCAAGATTATCCCAGAGAATGCTCTCTTCGCTAAATGTGTGAAGGTAAATTTTTAACATTTTGGATTTGACTCGGATATTTTTTTAATCGTTTGTTATATTATTTATCAACTACATGGACAGAAAGTTAGATTTAACTTTTGGATCAGCATTTTTTAAACAAGTCGTCATTGAAGCCATTTCCATTTTGGGTAACCCTGTAAATCGAGGAAATTTAACTTATTTTCAATATTATCTTCAATAGAAACAAGTGTTAAATTGTATTCAGGAGATCAAGAACCGCAAGGATCTGACTGATGATAAACTTGAAGTTCTTGAATCCATCGTCATGGACTCCGGAAAGGCTCAGGTATAGATTCCTCTCAGTTTTCAGCTATCGACGTCTTCTACTTTTATTATTCTCTCAAACTATTACCTTTCGTTGTGTTTCTGCCAACGGGCTTTTTCTCTAGATTTTCAAGTTTTCATACGTCTAAATCGTATTATCTTTTGACGTAGCAACCTAGAAATACTGCATTTTGATGCACACATTTTTTATTTTAACGATTATTTCTTTTTTCTTATTTTATGTCAATTCCAAAATTGACAGTACCATGCATATGTTATGAAGTCTGGGTAATAGGTATGGATTTATCCCCTGTATTTCAGGCTATAATTGATGCTAGTAAGTCTAGTATGGGTATGGACATATCTCCCGTGGATTTGATCAACATTGACATGTTCGCTGCAAGGGTCATCGCGCTCACTAACTACAGAAAGGTGGGTCAACTCAGTAAACCCTTGTGTACATATCTAGGAGGGGAGGAGGCAGTGCTTAGGATCTGGATCCGTTGGATCCGCAAGATTTTAACTTCCTGTAGAAATGTTTTTGACCTGGATCCGGATCCATTTTTATTCAGTGCAGATCCAGGATCCGGATCCGCATCAACTTAATAGATTCTAAGTACTGGGCAGTCCAAATACGTTGCAGTTAAATTTAACATTAAACAACCCCTCTTGTTCTAACATTTAATTGAACTTTATAATTCAACAATGTTGCGTGTGCCCTGATATTTTTAATTTTTGTCTCTGAAAATAGTTCTCACCATTATAAGACAACTTCAGAAAATTGAAAATTTGGGGGAGGTAGAAATAATTGATTTTAATGAAACTGAACTGAACTGAACTGAACTGAACTGAACTGAACTGAACTGAACTGAACTGAACTGAACTGAACTGAACTGAACTGAACTGAACTGAACTGAACTGAACTGAACTGAACTGAACTGAACTGAACTGAACTGAACTGCATGTTTAGGAGTTGAGTGAATATCTGAGGAACAAGATGCACATTGTTGCTCCTAACCTCGGCGCTCTGATCGGAGACACCGTCGGAGCCAGACTTATCTCACACGCAGGTCAATTTTTAGATTCCCTTTTCCTTTCATATCGGAGCCAGTCTTTTCTTTAAGTATGTTTTCCGAGTTTTGTTAAGAGACTAATTTTTTACCACTGAATGCAAAGTGCTTTGAACTTCAATATGTATAGTTTCTTTTTCCCGTTAACTTACATTTTTACGTCTTTGGTCAAAACTCGTCTTTTAATTTGTAAAGCCTTGATATTCCTTCTCTGTACTTACGCAGAGGTACAGTTATACTAGTTATAAAATAACAAGAAGCAACAATCAACCTGACATGTCTCAAGACGATTTACCAGTATTGGTTGATTCAGGGGTGATTATAGTATTCCCCCTCCCGGGAATGAATTATAAAGGGGGGGTGTTTATAGACAATAAAGTCTTTATAATTTTCTCCGAAAGTTTAATAATTAGGCGGCAAAAAAATAAATACAAATCAAGTTGTAGCGCATGGAACTTTGATGGNGGGGGCTGTTATTAATTTCTAAGAACCGGCGGTAAGCTATATTATTTTGTATTTAGGATCTCTGACTAACCTCGCCAAGTGTCCTGCCAGTACTGTACAGATCCTAGGAGCTGAGAAGGCTCTGTTCCGAGCTCTAAAGACCCGAGGGAATACTCCCAAATACGGGCTCATCTTCCACTCATCATTCATCGGTAGGGCAGGAGCCAAGAACAAGGGAAGGATTTCAAGATACCTCGCTAACAAATGCAGTATTGCATCCAGGTATAACTTTGACCAGAGACTAGAGTTAGAATACATTTTTTCGTTTGTTTTTCAAAGTTCTTTGGCTCTCCGGAGAGCCAATTAAAAATCTTTTTTTTTAAGATCTAAATATTTATTTTATGCTAATCCATTTAAAGATTTTAACAGGTTTACATTACAAGATATAGCATTACATTTGCATCATTTTCATAATTTCCCTCAATCTTAAATCTAGTTCCGCTTTTGTAGAGGTCTTCGTTCAGGCTCGGGAACAGGCACAGGATTAGGTTCAGGTTCAGGGTGAGGATGAGGTTCAGTTTTCATCTGGGACATCACCACGGAACTGGGAGTCATCCGGGACACAACCACGTTCGTAAGAGTCTGCATTGACCTCACCATAGGTGCTTCCTTGGAAGAAGGGATGGTTTCATTTTCTTTTAATTTTTTTCTGCTCTTACCCTTTTTCTCCTCCTGTTCGGCATCCTGGAAAGAGACTGGGGGAGGGTACCGAGGGTTTGGGAGAAGGAAAAACATTCTTTACCTCCTCTAGACCAAAACCTCAGCTCCACAGATTCACCGGCCTTCACAAATTCCTGGTATAGAGCCAGGACCCGCTGTATTGAACCCATGTGTGTGTATTTGTTAAGTTGAAACAGGTTGACCAGGTAGAGTGGTCGTTCCCAACATTTCAGCTGATTTGGGGCCAAACTAGGCTGGGAGGAGAGAGCTGGTTGCTAACAGGTTGAATGCCGGGTCAAGACTGAAAATTAAAAATCTCCGTGGTATTTCATTAATATAATTTCTGATACACCTATTTTGCTATACTTTTTGTTTCTGATCATATAAAATTTGCAATTCAAAAGTAGATGGTTGATTAATGTCTGACGATTTTTGGCCAATCTTGAATGTGTTATCAGTTCTGAAAAAGAATAATGATTGTTTAGGATTGATTGTTTCTCGGAGAACGCGACCACGATATTCGGGAGTAAGATGAAGGAGCAGGTCGAGGACAGGCTCAAGTTCTACGAAACAGGTTCGTCAAGGGGAATTTATTATTCAAGAATCCTCATCCGGGAAAATGCAAACATGGGGGGGGAGTTGGACATCAGCTGACAACCCCCGTCTGTTAACCAAAAATAATTTATTTCCCTCTAAACTGTTGCATCATACATTTATTTTCACAAATTCAGCAAAAACCCGGTTTTTTATGAAAACTTTAACTATGGGTTCGTTTGAACTGAGACAAAAATTGTCTAGAGAAATATTATTAAGCACGATTTATATTTAGTATTTAAAAATAAATCGTTCATTTTCTTTTCAATGGGGAAACACCGATTGATACTTAACGCCAAACACGAACCTCGTAATTTTATTCGGGTGGGTGTGGCTTAAATCGTAAAACCCGGTTTTTTATTTCCGCATTTTTAAAAGAATGACCTGCTTTCTATTTAAAAGACGCTCGAGTTTCTCGAAAAGTAAAGTTATTTTTAAGTAAAATTACAGTCCCGTTGAAATCATTTTGTATTTAGGAGATTTGCCGCGTAAAAACGTTGATGTTATGGCTGAGGCAATGGAAGAAGCTAATGATGAGGCGAAGAAGATGAAGAAGAAGGAAAAGAAGAAGAAAAGGAAACTGGCAGAGGAGAACGGAGATGATGAATCCATGGATGTTAGGTTAGACAACTCTTAATCATAATATTCAGTGCTTTGGGTTCATTTTAACTTGGTGCGGATCCAGATCCTGCAACAAATATCTTCTGCTGATTTTCGTGTTATTGGTCTTGATTTATGCAGAAGTTAAAACATTCCTTAGTTGACACTTCCAAGTTGTATTGAGATCGAAATCTGTTTTTGACCCCCTCTTAGTAGCTCTGCTCTCATTAACATTTTTAAGCCATTTACTATCCAATAAGCAGCAGATTAATTGTTACCTTGGATCTTTTTAAAATTTAGAAAACACGCTGAGGGAATATACCCTGTGGCTAAATGTAATGATAATAACGATAAGCAAATTGTAAAAATAATTTTCTTTCAAGCTATAGCTGGCTAAACGGCTGCGCCGAATTGGCTGAATTTTTTTTTAGGAAACTCGGGTACCCTGGAGGTAACATGGGCTAAACAAATTTGGGTTTTTTAATCATGATTTTTTTCAAAAATCAGAATTTTTTATATTCGATTTGTTATAAATTCCACGGGCAACGCCGGGCACTTCTGCTAGTTCTTATTATTATTATTAGTTTAATAATTATGTTGTTTTTAGTCAAAACTCTACTCTTGAGCTGAGCCAGACTGATGAGCCGAGCAGTAAGAAGAAGAAGAAGAAGCATGCAGCAGAGAATGGGGATGCTGCTGATACTACTGCTGAAACAAGTGTACTTGAGAATGGAGATGGTGGTAAGAAGAAGAAGAAGAAGAACAAGGATAAGAACAAGGAGAATGAGCAGGATGAGATGGAGATAACTGTAAACACAACAGCTGACACTTCACAGGTAATGAATAACCCTCTATCCAAAGATAACAATAACCGATTCACAACGGTACTATTGCAACCTTTAAACTAGCTACAAGTATACACAAGGTTACCCAGAGCTGAAAACTTTAGAATGGTGGATATCAAGATTAATGCGTGATCCTCTCTTTTTCTTAATATCAGACTCATCTAATCTTGTGCTTGTATCCTGAAAAGTGTATAAATTCAACCAATCAGAGTCGCGTATATAAAGCCGATAAATTTGAAATTTTGCGCGCCATTTAAGATTAATATACAGAAACGGGGCTGGAATTCTCTAATTTAAAAAACCGGCTTTTAAGTTTTTCTCAACTAAATCCAAGAAAGAACGGTTTATGAAGAAAATCAAAAGTTTGTCCTTTGGATGCTTAGATTAAGTAATCGGGATGAAGGATATCTCATTCTAAAGTTTTCAGCTCAGAAAGGATAAGATCTGCCTTGACACAATATTTTCATTTTGTATATTTATTATTATTATTCCAAGTTTATTAATATATTATGCGTAGGAAGAAAGTGTAATAATCAAAATTATTGTTATAATATTGAAAGAAAAACCGTGGAATAGTCACCCATTTTGTGTAATAATTATGATATTCCACGAACCAAGTGACAATATCAAGAATTATTCACCGGGAACTTGATAGATAGATAGATCCACGAACTTAGTGACAATATCAAGAATTATTCACCGGGAACTTGATAGATAGATGGATCAATTTAAAATAAGAATTAACATATTAATTCTGGGAATGCATTCAAATCCTCCAAGAATGTGGTATAATATTATTATGCGTAGGAAGAAAGTGTAATATGATAATCTTATGAGGAAAAAAATGTAATAATGGAAATTCTTAAACGAGATGAAATAATCTTGATGTATTCTTTAACGAAGGCCGCAGGCCTGAGTTAAAGAATGCATCAAGATTATTTCATCGAGTTTNATTCTTTAATGCTTGGAGCGTGTAAGAATATACATTCTTTCACGCTCTGACCGTGTAATAATTTCCATTCTTACACGGTCTGGCGTTAAAGAATGAAATTTCTGCACCTACAGTGTTAGAATAAGCATTCTTAAACGCTAGGAAGGGAACAATATTAAAATTGTTCCTCCTGAACCGTGTAATAATGGGAATTCTTACACGATAGGTTTACTACTATGGAACCGAACAGATATGTTATAATAATCAATATTATAACAATAATTTTGATTATTACACTTTCTTCCTACGCATAATATATTATTATATAACTCGGCTTTTTTGTTCGCTCTAAATATTAAATTTAAATTGGCGCAATTTTCAAAAATAACATTTTTTCTGGTCTAATTTTTTTACTTTGACAGTGAGCCTTCCCTGGGGTCATGTAGTAAGTTCATATAAAAAAGTGTGCTTATATTTAAAATGAATTAACTTTAAATTAAAATTTCAATATTTCAATATTTTTTAATGTTACTAAATGTGTAGCTTGAGAATGGAACCCCGAAAAAGAAGAAGAAGAAGAAGAGTAAGGATGACGAGGCAGAAGAAGTGGCTCCGCAAACCAATGGAACCTCGGAGAAGAAAAAGAAGAAAAATAAATCTGAATAAACATCCATTTATAAATTTGTCTCCATATGTTAAATGTTAATATACGATTATTTTCATTAAAGTTTTTTCTAAGATTCATTTTTTTCTTCAGCAGAGTGAACACTGAACACGATGTACAGAAATCAGTATCAATTTCACAAATTCGATCAGCAAGCTTTTTATTTGATTTGCAGATTATTCTTGAAATTTAAACATTTTTGGAACCTGGTGAAATTGAAAATATAAGGGGTTTGTATATTATCCACAATAGTTCAATTGATTGGTATCTATAAAACGTTTGTCTGTGTGTCCGATCACAACTCAGGAAGCCCTTGACCGACTTGTCTCAACTTTCGACTGGGAATGAGAGTGGTCTTGAGATTCTAAGTTGAGGTGGTCGACTTTTATAACGAAAATTCCGAAAAAGAATTAATTTTTATTTTGTTTTATACACCTGATCTCTGATATCAATATCTGAGGCCGTTCCTTCCATAAACTGCATTGGTCGACAACTTGACGTCTCTTATATTGTCCGTGAAGTGTACGGAGAAATTATTTATCATGCAAGAATTTAGCCGCTAATATATCGTCCCTTAAGTACGTGAATTAAACTACCACTGTATAGGGGTCATGGGCTCTGATACTTAACCTAAGGAAATAACTCTTTTTCAAATGTTTTAGACAATTTTATTATACCTTGAGATCAAGGACGTATACAGGGGGGGGGGGCAATGCCCCCCTATACCTGTAAAGGACGCAGAGATTTCACACTTTTCAAATCTTAAACTGAAGAGTTAAGAACATAAAAAAATTTTGCGGTTCATTCAATGCACTGAGAAGATTGTATAAACAAGCTTCTCAGAGGTTCCTACCAGAGATAAGAGAGTTACAGAGATAGATTATTAGCTAAAATATGCAATAATTTCCACAGCATGTTCTATTGTGTTCAAGTACTGTACACGACCAATCAACAAACATCTGTATTCAGGGATGTTTAAGGATCCTTTGGATACGATCACACAATTCTTCAAAAAAAGATTGAATTCATAAATGTTATCGTTTCATGTTTAAAATTGGAGTATTTGTTTTGTTGCAAAGCTTAACCCCTGAATAAGTACTATGTTTAACAAGTGGCCGTGAGATGGCACTCTAAAAACCTATCGTAAAAACATAGCATGTCGTACCGGGTCAACTTAGGCCTATGCGCGTAGCCCAGCCTGTGAAAGAAGATAAGCAGCCTGTGGTGTCTACTAATACAGGAGGGAGGATCATGACCCAAGAAAATAATATTTTCAGATAAATTGTTTTTGTCTTGAACATCACAATTCTAATTTTCATATCTTACATGGAGGCTCATTGGATATTGTTTTTTTAACGGTTCTTTTACATGGCTCTGTTAAAACTAGATTTATACACTAAATTATTAATTGTTATGGTTTAAAAAATATCATGAAGCATAATATTTTTAAAACTTATGGTCATAAATTTAAACAATGTTTGAACAATCCAATTAAATCTTCAAATAGTGTTAAGATTTTATCAGGTCATGCAACATCAAGAAAACAGGGGGGG